TTGCACAAACATTGTAGGGAGGTTAAGCACCAACTCAGGAAACAAGCCACGTCTGCATTGCTGGGGTAGTTTGGGGTTCCTGAAGGAGAGAGAAGGGTGGGCCGCTTCCTGGGCGGAGTGGGCCTGGGATAAGAGGGTCACGGGTGAGGAGCGAAGGTGGGTGGCGCGGTGGGGTGGTACTGGGGTCCGTGGTGCGCTCGGGGAGATGGGAGCGTGGCTGAGTAGGGGGAGGCACAGCACTAGGGGGTGAGGCTGGAGAACTTAAGGGCGTGGAAAGCACGTGTTACTCCCCCAGCGCACTGGGGCGGAGGCCAGTCCAGTACCGCAGCCTTATAAGGGGCCGCCTCGTTCTATTTTTGAACTCCTCTTTTTTAGAAGGCGTCTGAAATACCCACCTAGACGCCCTTCTGCTGTTCTCTTGCCTCGGGCACAAAGAGATGGTTTAAAATGATCGGGGCCAACAGATGTGCGCTGGGTGTGCTGATGCTCGAGTGCATATGGAATCCCGGGACTGGGTGAATAATTAATAAGGGAGAAGGAATACCCGTTCCCCGTAACACATGCATGTACTCATCATGAACTAGCGCCGTGCTTATAGCATCTGCCAGTCTGTTCTCCCCAAGTCCGTTTGCCTCGTCCCGAGCAGGGCTTTGGAGCATTGTGACCAACTGGGGCTCGGGAAGGGGAGGAGGGTGTGGGAAGGGGAGGAGGAGGAGGAGGAGAGCCCCTTTCCTGACCATGGTGTTCCTTGCTGGAGGGTGGCGTGTTCGGGGTGTGGTTCTGCGGAACTGTGGGTATTGGCCTGGCCCCCTCTGCTCTTTCTCCCCTGCCTTTCCCCCTGAGATCCAGACGCGGGACTGCTTCTTGTGCAGGGTAGCGGGGGACATATCTGGTGGTACTCGGGGCTTCCTCCTGACTCGGTGCTCAGGAGTGACCACTGGTGGTGCTCAGGGGACCATATAGGTAGTGTTGGGGATCAAACTGGGGCCAGCGCCAAGCACGGCCGCCACCCCCCAACACCCCCCCCCACACACACACACTTTGCCCTGTCCTGGGCTCCAGCTCCCAGAGAATCGTCTCTGGAGAGGAAGAGGAAGGAGCTTCTCGGGCCCGCAGAGCATGACCCGGGGCAGACCTCAGCTGCAAGCTGGACTTGGGTAGAACGAGACCCAGAGCCTTCACGTAAATGGAAATTGAGCTTGAGCCCTACATCCTGCTGTTTAAAACACTTCCCCCCCCCGCCCCCCTCCAAAAAAAATAATCCCTTCCCATTTAGCAGGGCAGAAAAATCACATCCCTGCAGTGGCCAGGATGAGTCAGCGTGCCATGGCTGGACGTCAGGATAAGCATGCGCCCTGGACGTGGCACTCGCTGATTGTTGGCCCTGGAGCCGTGGGACCATGGTGGCAGCGAGGCACTCGGTGCTTTTAAGGTCAAGAGCAGCAGGGCTGGGCGCCCCAGAAACCCCTGGGCAGATTCTTTCCGTCGGGAGTAGACTCTTGTTTGCTTTGAAATAGTTGGCTTTTTGCTTCACATTGCTGTTTTTTTTTTTCTTATTTCATTTGCTTTATTTGTTTTTGTTTGGGGGCCACACCCGGCTGTGCTCTGAGAGCACTCCTGGTCGAGCTCAGAGGACCATATTGGGTGCTGGGCATCAACCCCCAGGTCAGCCACCTGCACAGCGAGCGCCCTGTCTGCTGTACCGTACCCAGCCCTTGCTTTATTCAAGAGGCCCATGTTATGAAAAAAAGGAAAAGAGCGAGAGGGGAGGGGGCTGGAGTGATAGCACAGCGGGTAGGGCATTTGCCTTGCACGCGGCCAACATCACCGACACAGGTTCGATTCCCAGCACCCCATATGGTCCCCCGAGCACTGCCAGGAGCAATTCCTGAGTGCATGAGCCAGGAGTAACCCCTGAGCATCGCTGGGTGTGACCCAAAAAAAAAAGCAAAAAGAAAAAAGAGCAAGAGGGGAAAGAAATCTTATAAGAAGGTTGCGTGTGCAGGGAGCACAAGGCAGCGAGGCTGTCTGTGGAGAAAAGATGGAAATGCAGATCCCCGTCGGGTTCCCAGATCTGAGTGGTTGGCACAGAGCCCTGGGCACCAGGAGACACAAGAAATAGCTGATGGAGATTGGGGGTGTAGCTCGGTTAGGGCACACGCCTTGCATAGGTGGGGCCCTAGTTTCAGTCTCTGCAACACTCTCCCCCACCCCCATGCAAATAGCTATTGAATGGTGGGTTGCGTTACATAATCTCATTAACAGTGCATAGTGGGGCTGGAGCTTCGTCCAGTTCTAACATGAGAAACTCAAGCATTCTGTGCCGGGCCTGGACCTGTGCTCCCGTCCCTGCGATCAGGCCACTCTCCCCGCTGCTCTGCTCATCAGTTGGAATTTCTCCCCTGGTCATTCCTCCCTCATCTTCAGCTGGGGCTGAGAGCAGGCGCCAGGGGCTGGCGGTGGGGCCTGGCATGCCTTCGTCCAGCGTGGCAAATATTTGCAGAGTGCGTCAGCCTCGGCCACTGGCCTTGGTGTACTCCTGCCCCATCGGTTAACTTGAAAATTCAAGATCATGTAAGAGAATAGATCTGGGGGCAGAAGCGTTAGGACAGCGGGGAAAGCATTTGCCTTGCACATGGTCGACCTGGGTTCGAATCCCAGCATCCCATATGGTCCCTTGAGCACTACCAGGCACCATGCTGGATTCCTGGTATGTCAGGGGTGGCCCCTCACAGAACCAGAACATGCTGGTATTAGAGTATCGGGGCAGGGGGCACTCACCTTGCATGTGGCCACCCCTCCCACTGACCGGATTCCCGTGTTCCCTCGGAGCACGCGTACACACACACACACACACACACACACACACACACACACACCACACACACACACACAGTACAGGTCTCGTGCATGCTAGGCGCATGCTCTGTCGCTTGAGCTCCGTTGGCTGGTGTTTGATAGTGAGGTGTCCGCCTGGGCGGGGGGTGCCGAGACCTTTGGTCCTTCTCTGCTCTGTGCTTGTTCCTGTCACTTCATCTCTTAGAGGGCGGGACGGTTGTGACGTTAGTCACAGCAGCACATCTCACCCGGGAACATTTGTCTTTCATCACACAGTCGGGGAAGCTGTGACGTGCGCTGGGTGCTCAGTCCAGTCCCCGAGCCCGGCCCTGTGCTCTCCCCGCCCCCCCTCCCGCCTTCTGTCTTCAGCTGGTTGGGGCGCCCTGCCCTGTCCCTGGGGCTCTCCCCAGCAGCGTGCGGTCAGGCCCTTGGCTGGTTTTTATTTGCTTGCTCGTGTTCTGGGGCCACCCCGGCTGTGCTCAGGAGTCGCCCCCTGTACTGCCTGCAGGCTTGTGCGGTGCCGGGGATCAGACCTGGGCTTCCTGCGTGCAGAGCACACACCTGGCCAGCGGCAGCTCTTGAGCTCCGTGGTCACCTGCTCCCTCTTGCAGTGTAGAATCAGAGGGGCCTGGCTGGACCCAGGGCCATTCCTGCTCTCGGGGTGCCCATGCGGACTCCCCTAGCCGTGCTGGGCCAGGGTAGGCACAGACAGTCCAGCCATGGCCAGGAGCCGCCACACCTCTCCATGCTTTCACGGGGGGATAAGACAGGGGTTTGGACTGTGGTTTACTTGGTCCCGTGGGTGCTGCCCAGGGGAACTGTGACTGACACGAGGTAGCCTCAGACTTGACACGTGACCTCTGGTTGGTCTTGGTGGTACTCAGTATAGTGGAGCCTTTCTGAGCTTGAGCTCAGCGAGTGCCTCCCCTGGGGGCCAGGAAGGGTCATGTCACTGCCATCGGGCCCACTGTCTGGGCAGCTGGGGTCTGGGGGAGATTCTCTTCCTGAACCTTGGGCCCACGGGGAAAGCGGGCAGTGGGGGAAGCTGCCGCGTTGGGAGGTTGGCAGGATCGCGTGAGAGGAGCTGAGTGCAGGCTCCCTGTGCGCTGAGGTCCAGGCAGGTGGACTTAGTGAAATCCTTGTGGTGATGAGAGCATTAGCCAGAGTCATCCTCCCTTCCCCAGTGGGGTGACTGCAGGGGGGAAGAGGTGGGTCACCGTGTCAGGGCTTCCTGCCAGCCGATACTTCCTAGTTAACTATCAAGCTGTAGAAATTGTTCAGAGGACATAGTATTTGCTAACAAGAAGGTGTGTGTGTGTGTGTGTGTGTGTGTGTGTGTGTGTGTGTGTGTGTGTGTTTAAATATTGTTTAAAATAGGGCCGGAAAGTGCCCAAAAAGCCGGAGCACTGAGGTCTTTATCCCTGGCACCGTCTGGTATGGCCCCTAAACAAAACACAACACAGGAATGGCTAATCTAGCAGGTACTGTCAGGAAATGGTCAAGGAAAGCTGACAGTTTTGCAAAACAGTAATGAGTGATTTGGGGCCATCCCTGCAGTTGGGGACTCCTCCTGGCTTGATGCTTAGGGATATTCCCTGGCAGTGCTTCGGAGGACTCTTTGCTGCCAGGGATTGATCCTGAGGTTTTCCCCATGCAAAACTGAGTTTGTCTTTCATGCCATCTCCCTGTCCCCAAATTAGGTTTTTATAAAATTCCCAAGACTGTAGTTGATTTTTTTGGGCGGGGGGGGGGGGGGTGCGGGGGGAGTGTGGGGAGGCTTGGGCCACACCCTGCTGTGCTCAGGGCTTACCCCTGGCTCTGCACTCAGGGATCACTCCTGGCGGGATTGGTGACCCAGTGGAGTGCCAAGAGATTGAACCCAGGTCGGCCACATGCAAGGCAAACGCTCTTCCTGCTGTGCTATTGCTCCAAACCTCAGAAGAGTGTAGGTTGAAGGAATGTGAATAGGCATAGTTGGTAGATGAGTGTGTGTGCGTGTGTGTGTGTGAGAGAGAGAGAGAGAGAGAGAGATGAGGTGGTGAAAATGAATTTTAAGGTAAAGTGTTGCATAGTTGTTCTTGTGTGGAATGTGAAAAGAATCCAGCTTATCTACATCTTTTTCTGCGATTGCTCATGTGTGGTATGGTTTGTTTTCCTTCTAGGATGTGGAGAAAGAGAAGGAAACCCACAATTACCTCAGCAAAGAGGAAATCAAAGAGAAAATTCATAAATACAATTTAGCAGTCACAGACCAGTTAAAGATGACCTTGGTAAGTATGCAGAATATTTTAGTCTTGAGACAAACATAAGTTACTGGCAGTACAATGTGTATGTTTTAACCGTCTGAATGGCATTTGTAAATTTTTAAACCTCAAGGAACATCCGACAGGAAAATGGAATGTTTCGTCATCATTAAAGTGGGTTTTCCGGAAGTAGTTGTATCTACAAAAATTCTTCAGTACTTAGAAAAATTTAGTTTTAAAAAAGTTTTATTGAATGCTTGTAATGAATCATCATGAACAACTTTATAAACCACGGGGTGTCAGGGAAAATAAACAGATGTTGCGTGGGGCATGAGGGGTACAGGATTAAGGTGCTTGCCATGCATGTGGCTGACCCCAGTTCAGTCCCCAGTAGAAGTAAATTCTGAACATGCCCTGCTGTGGTGCATGTGTGCACGAGCGCGTGCGCATACATACACACACACACACACACACACACACACACACTGAAAGATTTTGTGCCCACCAACCCAGTTCCACACACACACACACACACACACACACACACACACACACACTGAAAGATTTTGTGCCCACCAACCCAGTTCCACACACACACACACACACACACACAAACACACAAAGATTTTGTGCCCACCAACCCAGGTCCCCACACACCAGGGAAATTCAGCTGTGAGTCCAGTACTCTCCTCTTGCAGAGATAAATTTGATGTTAGTGTCACTGCCCATGGATTCTTTGTGCCCTGAGTGAATGGACCTGAGACTTCCTGTGCTCAGCCGGTGGACAGGAAGAGGAAGGAGCTTTGGGAGTTTCCGCTTCCTGTTCAGTGGGGCCGGTGGGGCTGTCGCAGGGCTGGGGAGAACAGTCTGGTGTTGGTGAAAGAAGAGCTGAGGGGCGGAGTGTGTGCATTGCCTGTCTATCGCATCCTCCCTCCTGGAGACTTTGTTCTGGAACCTGTCATCCCTGGGCTAGTCTGCTGGGCCCCTGGACCTCGGACCCCGAGTCTATTGGCTGGATTGACAGCTCATGTGGGGACACAGGGACCCCTTGATATCCGGTCCTTTGGAATCCAGTGACACCCTCTGCCTTATGCAAGGCAAGCAGTAACCCCTGTACTATATCTCATACCCCACACAAAATCTGTTTTTTTTTTTCTTTTTGGGTCACACCCAGCAGTGCTCAGGGATTACTCCTGGCTTTGCACTCAGGAATTACTCCTGGCGGTGCTTGGGGGACCACATGGGATGCCGGGGATTGAACCCAGGTCGGCCGCATGCAAGGCAAACCCCCTACCTGCTGTGCTATTGCTTCGGCCCCACACAAAATCTTTTAAACTAAAAATGTTAACATTAAATTGTTTTTGGAGACAAAGCTACTTCAAAGTACAACTTCAGTGATAAAAGGAGGACCTTTTAAATATAAACCTTTGTGGGCTGCAGAGATAGTTTAAGAGCTGCCGTGCACGGGCTGTATGCAGGAGGCCGGGTTCCATCCCAGCACCCAGGTGCAACCTGGGAGCACCGCCTAGTGTGACCCAACCCCCTCCCCCACCTATGACTCTTGTTTAGATCGCTTCTCATGATGTGCCGTGAAGAGGGGAGAAGGGAAGGGGGATGATCTTAGGACCCTTCTTCATTATTTTAGCAGCACTCTCTTCTTGCAAACATTTTTTTTTATCAAAGCAGGAAAGTTCCATGCATGAAGATTAAAGTAGATGCAAGTTTTCTTGTTGTTTTAAAGACTTTTAAAAATGATAAATGGTGGGGCTGGAGTGATAGGACAGCGGGTAGGGCGTTTGCCTTGCACGCAGCCAACATGGCCGATACAGGTTCAATTCCCAGCATCCCATAGGGTCCCCCTGAACACTGCCATGAGTGATTTCTGAGTGCATGAGCCAGGAGTAACCCCTGAGCATCGCCGGGTGTGACCCAAAAAGCAAAAAAAAAAGAGATAAATGGAGGGGTCGGAGCAATAGTACAGCGGGCAGGGTGTTTGTCTTGCATGCAGCTGAATGGGGTTCTATCCCCGGCATCCCATGTGGTCCCTCGAGCATCACCAGGAGTGATTCGTGAGTGCAGAGCCAGAAGTAAGCCCTGAGCATTGCTGGGTGTCACCCCCCCCCAAAAAAAAAGCCCAAAAATGGAGCAGGGGCAAAGATACATAGCTTGGTAGTACTTGCCTCACGTGTATGGCCCTGGGTTCAATCCTTGTTTGTCATTGCATCCCCCCGCCTCGGGCAAGTATTAAATTCATAGTGCATAGATTAAATAGGCACAGCTTTTGGGTGAGGGGGGACATGCACCCAACCGTGCTTAGGAGCTGTGTGCTTGGGGGCTGCTCCCGGCTCTGTTTGGGGGATCAAACTGGCCCCCAAAGCATGTGCTCAGCCCACTGAGCTCTTCCTGTGAGACCCAACTGCTGCTTTGGGATATAAAAAAAAGAACAGTACTTCAAAATAGCTGTGTGAAAGAGAGGGTTGGATAGAGGGGAGGGAGACAGTGACCCTAGGGTCACACCTACCCGTGCTCAGGGGATCATATGTGGTGTTGGAGACTGAACCAGGGTCAGCCACATGCAAGGCAAACACCTATATTCTCTCTCCAGCTCCCAGAGAGATGAGACTTATGACCAACAAAGGGGCCAGAGCGATAGTACAGCAGATGGGACTTTTGCCTTCCAGGCGGCTGACCCCGGTTTGATCCCTGCATCTCTTATGGTCTCCCAGAGCACCACCAGGAGTAATTCCTGAGTGAAGAGCTAGGAATAACCCGAGCATTACCCTAGGTGTGACCCCTCCCCCCCCCAAAAAAGAGACCAACAAAAATACTTATAAGATGTGATATTATTTTCATTATAGCTTAAATTTATTTTAGAAAGACTGCCAAGGGGCCAGGGCTCAAAGGGCTAGTGGCCATCCAGGCCTTGCATGCAGAGGTTTGGCTTGAATCCCAACATCACATGATTACCCCCAACACCAACTAGAATGAACAAACACCCACCCCCCAACAAAAAACAAACAACAGAAACACCCCTGGAAACAATTTGAATAACTAGTACCTGTTGGAGGCGGGGGGCTGGACTCTTCTGGCATTGCTCAGGGATCACTCTTGGCAGGGCTTAGCGGACCGTATGGGGTGCAAGGGATAGAACCTGGGTCAGACACATGCAAGGCAAGTACCCTACCCACCACGCTATGCCTTAGGTCCCAGTTAGCACCCATTGTTGAAATAGCCAGTGGGCACCACAAGTCTGTCTCTCTCACCACGAACCTTTGCTGCCCCGGGATGTTAAGCCCAGGGGGCAACTGTCCCCCTGCCTGCTGGCTTTGCCGTGTAATCGCAGAAATGCGAGTTGCTGCCCCCACCTCCACCACCCCGCTCACCCCCAGACTGGCCCCTGGAAGCCCTTGCCGGGGTCAGGGCATCTTCAGGGAGGGTCTGGCACAGATCTAGAAAGAACAAGAGCGAGAGTGCTCATGGTGCTTCCCAGCCCTTTTGGGGAGGACTCAGCCCCGCTGAGCGTGTGCCTTTCGTCCCACTCCAGAACTCAAACGGGATTTACACTGGCTTCATCAAAGTCCACATGGAGCTCTGCAGACCCCCGCAGACCTCGTCCGGCCCTGGGACAGCGGCCCCCGGTAGCAACGGCTGTTTGAACACGCTCCACATCAGCAGCGCAAACACAGTCCGGGAGGTGATCGAGGCCCTGCTCAAGAAGTTCCTGGTGACGGAGAGCCCCAGCAAGTTCGCACTTTACAAGCGGTGCCACAGGGAAGACCAAGGTGAGCGCCTCCCAGCCAGCGGGGCCCTCAGGCACTTTCTGCCAGAGCTGCCTCTTGGGGGCAGGGTTGGGAGGCCACCATTCCCCTGTGCTCAGGCTGCTTCCTCAAGGTTCCTGCATTTTTTTTTCCGGGGGTGGGGGGGTGGCCAGGGTGGTTAAAGGAGCTCAGGAATTAAGGGGGATTTGATGGCGTGCACAGAGGGATGATTTTGTTCTTTTGGGCGGTGTGTGTAGTGGGAGGGGGGTAGGCTTGGCTTTTAATGCTCTTTATTTGGGGGGGGGGTATTATTTGGGCCAGTCCCAGAGGTACTTGGGGGACCATGTGATGCCAGCGATTGAACTGTGGTCGGCAGTGCTCAGGCACTCAGGGGTCTTCCCAAGTGATACTAGGTCCGACCGTGCAGACCTGATGGGTCAGTGGTAGGATGTGGGGGGCTGGGGCTCTGCAGGGCCTGGGTTGGAGGATCGTGGCCCGCCAGGCACGGTGCCAGCCCTTGCGCCATCTCCCAGCCCTGGGACCCTGCTCAGTCCCCGACACTGTCTCCTGCCCCATTCCCCAGCCCACCCAGCTCCCCCATCCCCCAGCACCCCCAGCTCCCCAGCTCCTCCAGACAACCCTCACTGCCAGCATTGCAGTCACAGCCATAGGCCAGGGACTACCGAGAGTGGCCCCCAGACCCCTGGAGCGCTTGAAAAAACCAGAAGCTCGCCTTCTCCCAAAACTGAATCCCTTGCCTTCTAAAAGGAGCTGAATTAGTTAAAGCTGCCTTGGGGGTCTGGCGCTCGCCTGGCATACAGCTCACCCAGATTGGATTCCTAGAATTCCATATGGCCTCCTGAGCACTGTCAGGTGGGGGCCACACCCAGAGGTGCTGTGAGTCATGGGCGGTGGGAAGGAGCCCAGGGCATCAAGCAGAGGACATGTACGAGTGCTCATGCCTCGTATTGAACTGCATTCCCAGCCTCAAGTCATGCTTGAAGCCTTGCGCTAGTCAGATGGAGGCTGGCTGCGGCCGCCCTGGCAGGAATGGACCGCTGGAGCGCCGGTCTGGGGACTGACTCCAGACCCCCGTATGTGACCTGCTGTCTGTCTGTGTCCTGGCCCAGTGTACGCCTGCAAGCTCTCAGACCGGGAGCATCCGCTCTACCTGCGGCTGGTGGCAGGACCCAGAACCGACACGCTTAGTTTTGTTCTTCGGGAACACGAAATCGGAGAGGTAAGCCTGGCTTCCTTCTGCTTCCTGCTCCACCTGGCCCAGGCCAGGCCTGCCCCCCTGCTCTGGTCTAGAGAATCAACACTTCGGAGAGGATAGAGGGTATGGTAGGTGGGGGAAGGAACAGACTCAGCCTTAGGAGGGTGTTTCTGAGGGCAGCTTCTGTTTTGCTTCCCGGTCCGGTGTGTGGTCCATCCCTGACAGTGTCCAGGGCCTACGTACATGGCTTTGTGCTCAGGGATCACTCCTGGAAGGGCTCCAGAAACCGTCTGTGGTGCCAGGGTTTGAACCCTGGATAGCTTGAATGCAAGGCAAGTTCCCTTGCCTACCTACTAGACTCTCTCTCCTGCTTCTGTGTGTTTTTGAAGTTAGAAATGGGCCCACAGTCAGCCTCTGATATTTCATAGCATTCGTTCTATGGGTTTGTTATCTTCAGCGGTGGCCGGAAATGTGCCCCCTCCCTCTTTAAAACAAAAAGCCCCACTCCACCCAGAGAGTAATTTTCACCCCTTCTGCCTCCAAATTACTTGGATCCAGCTGAACTTTGAAAGATGACACTCTCCATATGTTTGCTGCTAACAGAAGTCTCCGGGCTAATTCGCTCTAGAGGGAAATAAAAAGGAAATTCAATCTCCTTTACCCCAAAAGATATTTAACTTCCTGGAATCTTTGCCCCCACCCCACACCCCGGCCAGTCTCCCCCCCACCCCCTTTTTTTTTTTTTTTGCCTAAATGAGTCAAGAATTATGTCTCCGTCTATCGCATTTGTCATTTTCTCTCACGGAGGATTGTATTAAGAGCCCTTTGGTTGGAAGGAAAAGGCCCTTCTAGATCAGGTGTCAGCCGTAACCCACGGGCTTGAGTAAATCTCCCTGGCCCTGCAGCTCGGTCCTGTCGGGAATAGGAGCTGGTAAGATTATCCAGGTCGGACGGTTCTTGACGCAGTGAGCCTGGTTTCTAGGTTAAAAGTTGGGAAGCCGGAAGCTGCAGCTCAACGGGTCGGTGCCACCCTGGGGTCAAATCCCCAGGACTCATCGCCAAAAAAAGAAGCCACCAGCTAGGATCCTTTCCCCTTCCTTCCTCTTAGTAGGTTAGGAGTTGCCCCTGGAAAGTTTTGTCATGTTTCAGTCCTGGATTTCATTATTATCTTTTGTTTTGTTTGGGCGGGGGTGTTGTCCCGCTAAGTAGTGCTCAGGGACTACTCACAGCTTATTGCTGGGAGGTGGGGGGCAACAGGGTGACTCCTGGGTGTGCCCACGGGGGTGGGGGTGCTGCCCCCACTCTGCTCTCTTTAAACCATGGTAACCGAGAAGACGATGGGGACTGGAGAACGCCCCTCCTGGCTAAGCCCCCGCGGCAGTTCTGCTGAGCCCTTGTCTTTTCCCACGCGGTCCCCCCAGTGGGAAGCCTTCAGCCTGCCCGAGCTGCAGAACTTCCTGCGCATCTTGGACAAGGAGGAGGACGATCAGCTGCAGAACCTGAAGCGGCGCTACGCGGCCTACAGAGTCCGGCTGGAGGACGCCCTCCGCGAGGTGTGGAAGCCCGACTAGGACCCGGCCGGCTGCGCGGGACCTGCGGGCAGTCCGGTCCAGGCCGCTTGTGCCCCACGGATGATGCTCTCGGGTCGTCCTGCCTTTAGGATTAGCGACAACCCCGCCCCTCCCCGCCGCCTCCCGACCCCTGCTCGGGGCGCCCCTGCCGGCAAGCTGTGAATCTGCAGGCTCATCTGAATCTGCCTGGGAAGCATGGACTTGGGGACCTGCTTTCTTGTTGGGTTTGTTGGTTTTTTGTTTTTTGTTTTTTTTTTAATATATATATATTCCCCCTCCCTCAGTTATTCTAAAGATGTGATGATGTTAAGCTTAAGGATGTGCAAATGCTCTTTGAAAGCTTAACATAGGACTCTGTCTGAATACTACCTGTCCCTGAGGAAAAAAAAAAAAACCAGTTTGTGTCAAGAAACGGCCGGCATAGCATGGACTGAAAAGGGGCAGGACGTGGGGGGGGGGGGCTTTGACTTTTGGGGTGGGGTTGCATGAAGGGAACTCTGGAATTTGACGTGGAGCCGAAAGGAGCAAGTTCGGAGAGAGGCGGGGAGGGCCGAGGGGAGGTGGTTTGCAGGATGAGTTGTTGGTGGTGGTGGAGCAAGGTCTGTGGTTTTGCATGGAGAAGGAGGTCGCAGGTGTTCTGTGGGAGAGGCTAGGCATGTCGTTAGGATGGTTTGGGCTCCCGGTGAGTAAAGGTGGGGATGCAGCTAAAGGAAGTGGAACAGTGGCCAGAAAGAGGGCCCAGTCACTCAGTAGCTGACCTGAGAATCCAGTTTTTGGGGCAGGCTTCTTCTTGCCCCTCTCTTCCTTTCCAAACCCAGCCTGACCCCCTCTGGCTGCCCTCTCTGGATGCGGTCAGGACCCTGGCTTTGGGGTGGGAGAGACGCCTCTTCACTTCCCAACCTGGGCTTCCCTTTGTGCTGTCTGGCCAGCCAGTAGCACCGTCGGTGACAATCGCTCCCTCTCCCCCTTCCCCGCCTCTAGTATTTTTTTTTTGACAAATTTTGAGGGGTCTTCAGAGCAGGGGTTGTGGGCGACTGGTCCCCCCCCACGCTCAGACCCTCCACTCGCAAGGACCAGATGAGTGAGAGGAGGCAGCCGGCAGGGCGTGGAGCAGACCACCCCAGAGGGCTTCTCGAGGACAGGCCCGAACAAAGGAACTGGCCCCCGACAACCAAAGAAACGCACGTGCAATAGACGCCCGCAGCCCCTATTCAGAGCCGGGCTGCGGGCAAAGTAGCCTGACTCCCCAGGGCCTCAGCATCTGCTTTCAGTTTAGTTTTTCTTTTTTTTTTTCTTTTTTAAAATAAATTCCCAAGGAATTGTTAACACGTTGGTGACACCTAATGGATTCCTTTTGAAATTCCAAGGTGCTTCAGTTCTTTGCCTCTGAAGTGAGCTGTGCCTTACATTGCGTTTTTGGGGGTGACCGTCCGTGCGGAGTCGCATTCCCGGCCTATGGGCGGCGCGGGAAGAGCTGATTCCGCCGGCCACCCACACGGGGACAATCGCATCTTTCCTGAGCTGCTGGAGAAAGTCAGAAAAATAAAGTAAATCACTCTCGCTCTGAGATATGTCTGGCACATCTTGTTTAACTTTGCACGTAGCTTTGTAGTGCATTGATGGGGTTTTAGTGACAGGCAACCAACACATTATTGTTCAGGGAATGCCTTCGTGGTTTTTTTTTTCTTTTTTTGTTCATTTGTATGTTTTTTGTTTTTTTTTTTTTAATATACCTGTTTTACTATTCAGGCTATTGCTTAGGTTTGAGTATACTATTATCAACCACCTGGTCTCTTAATTATCCATCCTGGTAAGCTTAGATTTTTGTGAAGCATTTGTTTCCCAGATTAAGACACTGTTAGAACCTAAAATAGTTGCTGATGGGTATCTGTGAATTTTTTTTTTCTCTTTGACTTGAAGTAGGTTGTCTCAAAAGGGCGTCCTTGCCCGCATTGTCTAGAACCTCGGTCATTGTTGTCTGCACTACACACCGATTTGGAAAACTTGACTCTGTTGAAACAAGGTCAGTTCTTTGAAGACTGATGTCCTCTCCCAAACACTGGTCACTGCAACAGCATTTTTTTAATATGTAAAAGAAGGCCATGAAGGCCAAAGAGTTTTTTTGTAAATCATTGCACAAATTCTTACGTTAAATTAAACTAAGCTATATTGTAATACTGTTTTCAATATGTGATGGTACAGGAGTGATGTTAAATGAAGGGGCCATTGTACTGCAAGGGAGCATTTTAAATCACAGAAGTAAAAAAGGTTATAATATTTATAATTTTTGATGAGTTTTAAGTTTATTTTTACAGGGAAGACTTATCTTTCCTAAAATTATTTCTGGAATGACAAATTGTTTCCATTATTAAAAATTGAAATGTTTGTTGGTGTCTCTGTGTTTCTGTTTATGATGAAAACCCAGATAAGAGAAGATTGCAGTTTCTTCTGCTGATCATGGGTCACAAAACCAGAAAGTGACAGCGTTCGGCGATGGAGGCTGGGGCCTCCCTGGCTATATTTAGGAGACCTGAGGGTCATCCCTTATGGTTCTCACCACCAGCCTGGCACCTCAGTAGCAAGGCCTGGGGACCCTGGGGTGCAGGGGATTGTACTGGAGTTGGTTACGTGCAGGGCAAGTGCCTGACCCCTGCTTAGCAGTCCGGATTCGGAATCTGATGGCTTCTACTGTGTCTGGGTGGGGCACAACACAAGTCTTCTGCATGTCATTTTTTCCTTTGCCTAATGTGTGGGCCTCATGTCTCTGTCTGAGGGTCTGCTACACAACATACTCCTGAAACAGTTGTTTGCATTCTCTAATGCACAGTTTAAAATGTAAAAGTTAAAGCGTGAATAGTTGAAAGCTATTTGTAATGTGGACTCCCTTTGCTTAATACTAAAATAGAACATTATATAGCACAGCGGGTAGGGCGTCTGCCTTGCACGCAGCCAACATGGCCGACCCGAGTTCGATTCCTTCGCCCCTCTCGGAGAGCCCGGCAAGCTACTGAGAGTATTCGATATGCCAGACACAGTAACAACAAAGTCTCCAATGGAGACGTTACTGGGCCCGCTCGAGCAAATCGATGATCAACGGGAGGGCCTTTACTTTACTTTACTTTACAGTTTCTTAGATGCTCCGTTTCTGCCGAGTGGTGCTCCGAGTGGTCTCCAGCACCACTTTCAGCATTTTCACACTTTGGTTAACTCGTGTGTGTGTGTGTGTGTGTGTGTGTGTGTGTGTGTATTGTGTGGCATATTCATATTCTGGTTAACTCATCTGTGTGTGTGTGTGTGTGTGTGTGTGTGTGTGTGTGTCTGTGTGTCTAGCAGTGAGTACTAGGTGCACCACGATTTTCTTACCTTTGGTGTATTTTTTTCTTTTTTATAATTTTATTTATTGAATCACCATGAGAGCAGTTACAAAGCTTTCGGGTTTAAGTCTTGGTCATACAATGATGAAACACCCATCCCTTCACACAGTGCCCATTCTCCACCACCAAAAACCCCAGTATGCCCCCCCATCCCAAATCCTCCCTCTACCTGTGGGGCAGATGACTTCCACATTAGTGTCTCTCTACTTTGATCACATTCAGTATTTTGGCACCAGACCCACCATTATTATTTGGGATTTTACCCCAACACTTAGATCTGCCAAAAAGGCAACAGGAGACAGTTTGTTTTCTATTGCTGATTATGAATAACATATGATGTCACACAGTTGCAGTAATGGCTGCACGATTTTGGAATTCTGAAATTTTAACAATTAAATCTGGAGGGATTTCCGCCAAAACCTGTTGGGTTCCGAGATTTGTTCTTGAGTCTCTGCGATCATGGCCATTAGGCAGCTTGATTAGGAGCCAGAGAGGCTATTCGTGGACGGCAGCTCGGGGTCTCGTTGGGGTGGGGAGGAAAGGGCCAGCTCCGCCCCTATTCCCGTGAGGCCCCGTGTGTCTCATCACTGCGGGCCCAAATCTGACTGTCCAGTGGCCTCTGGAGGATGGCGGCCACCAAGCCGCCAGGGGGAGTAGGCCAAGACACAAAAACATATTCCTGTCTGGGGTGGCCTGGCACTGGTAACCTACTTCAGGGATTGGTCGCATTTCTGCCAAAAGCCGCTGGGTTCTGAGATTTGTTTCTGAGTCTCTTGGATCATGGCCATTAAGCAGCTTGATCAGGAGCCAGAGAGGCCATTTGTGGGAGGCGACTCGGGGTCTCATTGGGGTAGGGAGGAAAGGTCCGCCCCCTCCCCCCCATTCCCTGACGCCCCATGTGCTCACTCATCACTGTGGGCCCAAACCTGACTATCCAATGGCCTCTGGAGGATGGCAGCCACCGAGCCGCCAAGGGAGAGTAGGTGGAGGGACAACACCCTTTCCCCCAAGGGTGGTTCGTTGCTGGTAACCCATTGCGGGGACCAGACATATCTCTGCCAAAAGCCGCTGGGTTCCAAGATTTGTCTCTGAGTCGCTGGGATCAAGGCCGTTAAGCAGTTCAGTCAGGAACCAGAGAGGCCTTGCCTCCAGTTAACACATAGCTGAGCCGGAGGTGGTTTGTGGGTGTGTCTCCCACATACCTAACTTTTGGCTGTTTACTTTCTTGGGTAAACTTGACCCCAAGTGGTTGGAGTCTGGCCAAAGGCACAGCAGCAATTTTGGGGTATCTGGAAGTCTGAAGGTGCCATTAGGCTGCTGATGCACCTTCGGTGTATTTTAAGAGGCTGGAGAGATAACTCAGTAGACTGAGAATGTGCACAGAGCCCTCATACACAACAAAATGACAAATGCTCTTTAAAACCAGGGGCCAGGAAGATGTCTCAGAAGGCCGGGACGTGTGCTGCAGGTGAGAGCTCTGGGTTTGTCTCCCATGGTCTGTTCGTCTGTCTGGGTTTGTCTGCATGGTCTCCCACACTGCTGACCTAGCCACGTACCGCTCCCCTCATCACCCTGCCCCCCAAAAAACACATCTACCTTTTTACTTTTTTTTTTTAGTGGGGTTGGGGTGTGAGGCCACTTTGGGGCTGCTTTCAGCTCTGTGGTGTGGGGTCATTCCTGGCAGGGGTCGGGCACATTAAGCCCTGCAACCATCTCTCCAGCCCCTTACAAAAATGCTAAACACATCTGTTAATATGAAACCTACATATCACACCCCCCCCCCCCCCCCCCGCTGCCACCTGTCACTTCGCTGCAGGCATTAGAACGCGTGTACAAATGTTTCTCTTTGCATAGAGAAGACCAGCTCATCCTTATTCTCAAGCCGGCCGTGGGCAAGTTTCTGCAACAGCACTGCCCCCTAGAGGTGCTGGCCAAGTAAACTGTCCAGACGATGGCTTGAGATGCTTTTTTGTTGACGTGGTGGTTGGAATCTAGTCAGGGTGCAGGAGGAAGGCTGTGGGATTTTTATCTCTTCGAAAGATTGAGCTCCAGTGCTGGAGGGGTAGTACAG